GCTTATTACAGTAAAAAGTTGGAATAGAATTTATTTGTATTCAGAACCACATGTCCCCAATGACCACACAAAATGTTCTCCAGAGTTTTAATCTTGTAACCAAACTTGGAAGTAGGGGTGCAAGTGATTTTGATCGATTCTCTTCATCAACTTTTTCTTTAAAAAAAAAAATACTACAAATTTGGAACGCCTACAATAAAAAAAGATAGTAGATGATCGATCAATTAATCATTTTTTCAAGCTTCTACATTCATCTGACGTCTATCGGAAACTACACACAATCTGTTTTCCGTTAATTGTTCGCAGAGGACACTGCAGTGCAAAACATGTCTGATACCTCTATACATTCATTTAGATTAATATTCAAAGTCCCTCCCTTTTTACACACTCTGCACACAAAATAGCTCACCCCTCACAGAATTTCCCGCCGATTTTTATGAATGGGGCAGAGCAGAAAGTATCTTTTGTACAGAATATGTAAAAAAGGAAGGACTTCGAATGTTAATCTAAATGCATATATAGAGGTACCAGACATGTTTTGTAGTGACAGGTACTTTATTTTGTAATCTGTGAAAGGGAAATCATAAATCGAGTGTCGAGACTGTCGAGATTGAGCTCGTGAGAGAGTTTTCTTTCTCAAATTTGAATTTTCGGCTCTCTGGGGACTGGTAGTAAGCGTCTAAAAAAACCCTTTTTTATTTAATTGTATTGCGGATATCACACCTGATTCGACTCCTGCGTTAAAAATAAGTATACAGTAATATTTTCGCACTGGTCATTAAAAGTTAAATATCGAGCTTCTTAATGCTTTCTAGAGTTCTAAAGCTGTTACTGCTTTCAAATAAGTGGATTTTTAATTTTTTTGGCCTGTGCAAAAATATTACTGTGCAATTATTTTTTGCACAGGAGTCTTATTTGGTGCAAAATGCACAATAGCATGTTTAACAATAATTTCCGAGAAAAAAAACTGAACGACAAAGTCTCTGAATAATTTATTTAGATGGCCGTTCATTTTTTTTGACCTGATTATGCACCGAAAGCGAATTATTCCCACTTTTCTCAATATGAGGATTTTTATCACTTCCTACCAGTGGAACAGCGCCATCTCTGTGGAAAATGGCTGGACGATATGATTAATTAAAAGAACTAAATGCTCTTCACATTTGTTCCGTTCACTAGCGGTCCTACGTCAAGTTTCCGTTCGGGCCCCTAGGCACATACCCTTCTACTTTTTATCTAGATAACAAATTTATATGGTTTTGACAGATGGGATCGCTGCACATTTGAATCCACCGATATGGATTCTCGATCAAGAGTTAAGTTTAAGTTTCATGTCGGTTTGTCAGTGATAATACCATGAGAGTTTCGGGAGAATACAAAGCGAATGCTGCGGAGAACTCCAAGTGTATTTTCATTAGAAATCTCCGTTGAATATGAAATGGACTATTCTAAGGTCATCAGAACTGCTTGAAAGTTTCTAAAATTTTGAAGAAGTTAATTAAACTCCATTGAAGTTCTTTTGTAGTTTGAGAAACTAACTTGATGCTCACAATACTCATCATACCTTTATTTTACCTTCCATGAACTTTTTTAGACTTCCAAAAAGTTTCTTCTATTTTCCTAACGATCATGGATCTTATCTTAAGTTTTAACATTTCGCTGAAGTTCTCGAAACTTCCTCAGAACTCATATAATTTATCTAATGTTGACGAAACTGCTCCGAGGTACTCTAGTTCTTTCCTGAAGTTCTCGAAACTTCTGTAAAGTTTTGACAGTTCTCATGAAGCTGGTTTTTTTTAAAGCTTTGATTTGTTTTCCGTCGATCTTGTTTTCCGTACTGAGTACCAATGCTACCGACGTCAGGGAGGCAGCTCCCACACCTGGACCCTACCTACCGTCCCATCAGCTCATGGACCGGGGGCCAATGGCTTCACTTCCCTTCTGAATGAAGGCATGATTAGAGATTTTATGCCTCAGAAAATCCCGACGGCGCCGACTGAAATTGAACCCAGGCCCTTTGGAGTGAGAGGTAGTCACGCTTACCACTACACCACCGGTGCCACTACATGAAGCTTTTCATGTTAACTTCGTTTTTTTAGTCGTTGTCTATCAGAAGTATAGTGCAATAAAATATACCCCATAACTATAAAATATATAATGGATTTAATTCATAAATTATTGCTACAGATATCATCACAGATTTTCTGTAAAAAATACGAAGATGAAAAGATGTTTTTTGAGCAAAAACACAGATTTCACTGTGCTAATTCTGGTTACCCCCAGTATAGTAAATAAAGACGTAGTCCTACGACAGAAACATAAGCGGTAGTTGATGCACTCGTGGGGTCCATTTTTGATTTCATATGTCCTCTTAACCCTTCAAAGGAGGCTCTGCCTTTGAACAAGTTTGATGTGCATTTTCTCCGCTGTTTATTTCACGAGTAAAAAATAGGAAAATATATTTCATTATATTTTTATAACAGTATAAAAACCAACCATCACACCGGCTCAGAAGTCGATAGCAAAGAGTTCAAGCGAAGAGTCAAGAAGGAGCTCCGAAAACAAACTCCCCCACTGAACCCCCGACGTTCATTCGTTTGCGACCCACAAGTGGTGATCATGGAGACTCCTTTAATCACAGATACAGACAGGAAATTCCCCTGATGAAAAGGAATCACCATGGATCAAGGTGTATTCAAGGAGAGGCAACATTTTATTTCACTTAAAAAGTATCATCAGTACGAGGTGGAGGAAGCGGTCAAGGGTGGATATCATTCCGATTCAAGCAAGAAAGATGGACCAGCAGCGCCATGCAATTTCATCCGGTTGACATTGCTCATGGATTCATTTAGTGGGTTCGTTCCTATTTATTAATTTACTTGTGATGATGATCGTCAATAGCGTTGAACAGCCAGAAACAGTTGCAGAATAAGGTGAGAGCTTTCCATTTATTTGATTTAAATAGTTGTAAATTTAACTGCAAAGACATAGACAAACAAATATCATTTGATGTTCTGTTTATAGTCACCTGTGTATGCTACAATCAGCATTAGTTTACCAAAGCGATCCATGCTGCAAACCTTTCCCCACATTCAACATCCCAGTAATTTCTCGTCGAAGCGCAGAGGGCTTCTAGGTTTCCTTCACAGCGAGTGTCATGTCAACACATTCCTTCCCATTCCCTATTTGACCTGCATTCGGACACGGCCGGCGCTGGTATTGCTAAGTATTAGATCTGCTGTTTTTACACATTGCGGATGAATGTTAGTCCCACACATCATCTGTTGGTTCTTTGTGTAAATGCAGCTGATTTGGCGATAACAGAGCAGCAGCCGTGGGCGGTTAATCATACTCATGCTGATGCTCATGCAAGTACTCGCTTACCCAGCGCTTCCAAATCCGGTTGGCTTGGATTAGAGATAATCGCCATCATTGCCACAGCACGGTGACTCCATTATCGTGGGTGCAGAGTGGATTGACACCATTGAATGATCCCAGAAAGAAGTGATTCTGCTAGCGTACTAATCAAATTCCAATTCAACATGGTCAAATAACCCTGTATCAAAGGAATTCAGAAGTATATTATTTTGTATGGCTTCCTAGGACACATCGAGTTAATGAAAACGAGGAAACAGCATATGTTGCAGCCTTTGGTAGACTAGCAAGCTGCTACACCTGGGAGGTCCCTGTCCTGGATCTACATAATTGGCTTAAACTGCTGAAAATGCGGAATGCTTACATTCAGGAAATCATTTCTTCCGGAGGATTAAGTGGGATACCAGGAGATGTGAAGAACCACCATTGAGGAGAATTGGCGACATAGCCTGATCGCAAGGGCGTAGACAAGTTACACATAGCCAGATATCAACAGGCGCTATTAAACCGAATGTAACTAGGCCCAAGGGGTCACTAGATCAAATGAGTAATTTAACTGATTTTTAAATTTTTGTCAAACTGCATAAGTGATTTTCAAATTTGCATGGTGAAGAGCATATTCCGAATTGACTTGATAATAGTGACAAGAATCGGGTAGTGACCACCGCCGTTATGAATTTCTATATTGTATATTTCAAATCAAAAATATTGTTTATGTTCATAGATTTCACATAATCCTTTCCCCTTTGTCCTTCTCATTTTTCTTTCCCTTTTCTCTTTTCAAAAAGCGAGTAATGGCGCTATAGCCATAAGTCATAAAAGGCTAGGACAAGAGTTAGTGCGCATGCCCCAACCGTCAGAAGAAAATGGAGCATCACTTAACCTTTCTAGTTTTGATGCTTCCAACGACCAATCAATCATATGATTACCAAAATCGGAACGTACGGTACGAGATGTCCACGTTTCATTCATTTATTGGATTCTGAAGCATCGTGTTTAAATCTTCTATTTAAACAGGCCCGATGTTTTCTGAATCATCTTGCCCCTTAAATACTGCACTGTAGGCCTGGCCGTTTTGATATGTGTGACGCATCTTCGATGTGAAACATATATCAAATAGACAAGAAAAATGATGTATGTAGATATATCATTTTCCAGGATGCTTTCAAGAACTGGCTGTGTTGGTGTTAGATTAGATTAGATTAGATATGTCCTCTTAACCCTACAAATAAAATTAATTCTTGCGCTTACTTAGGGAACATGTTTTCGCTTAACCTCACGGTATAGCAGTTTCATATCATATGAAGTCAGTCTCGGTTCGTGTATCTTCTAAAGGTAGTTCAAACAAAAAAGAAACCATAATTCGAGACAAACATTTGAAAAAGGTCAATGTGCCAAATGTAAGCAATGACTTGGATCACCAATTAATACGTTAACCAATAGCAACATCTGGGTAGAAGAAGAAGTTTGCTCTACCAGATGGTGTTGTTTATTTGCGTGGGTGATTCATGAGAAATCATCCTTCATTATCATTCTTTTCATTTGGACGATTGACCCTTTTCATATGTTCGTCTAGAATAGTTGAAAATTAAAAACTTAGCACACACTCATCTCAATGTTCGTACCCTTACCGATGTAGACTTTGGGTTGCAATGAAAACCTCTTGTCCATGATGGAATGTCGTTGTGCAATCTGTTGCTGCTGGCTGGCCAGAGAAGCCCGATAGTTGAGCTCCTGGGTGGTCACATCGTACCCGAGCATGCTGAGAATGAGATTCCTTAAGGCTGCCCGGAAGTCCTTGAGATGGTAAGCGTACAGCAGTGGGTTTACGGCCGAATTCAGATGGGACAGGATTATGCAGAATAGCATAAGGAAGGGAGGGATTTGACAGTCGCGACAGAAGGCCACAATGCAGTTGATTGTGTACAGCGGGATCCAGCAGATCATGAAGAACAGCACAATGATGGAAAGGTTCTGGGTGGCTTTGACCTCGCGCTTCTGGGCGGCACCCAAAACTCGCAGCATCGTGCCACCGTGCCCGTTGGATTTGCAGCGGCCTGTTTTCATGGTCGATATCCGGATGCGGCTGCTTTCAGAGGATCGACGACTTTCGGACGAAAGCCCACCGGACGGGTTCATCGTTACGATTTGGCGAAGCTAAAATAAGAAGATGCATCAATCTGGGTACTATTTAGAGTTTTTTAAAACACAATACTAACTTGCTTAACTATTACTCGATAGATGTGTGCGTAGAATGCCAGCATGATGAGTGCCGGCGTGATGATTGTCGCAAAATACAGAAATACTAAATAATCATAATCCATAACTTTAATGAATAGGCAGGTGTCAACTTGGGGTGTTTCGTGCCAGCCAAACAGTGGCAGGAATCCGATGATGGAACCAGCCAGCCAGCACATACTGATGATAACTGTGGATGAAGCGGAAAATAAAAGGAACATTTAAATACACTTAATTACTCGTAGTATTTTAATCAACGAAATATTCATTGTCAGCACTATTGTTGCGTCTACTCAACAAAGCTGGTAACACATTCGACTACATTTGAGCTCGATTCTTTGATTATGTCTGGTGAATGCATAATGAATCAATTTACCGTGTTTATTAAAATGTTAAACAATCACTTGCTCGGTAATTGAGTTAAACAGATGTCATATAAATTGTTTATTTACAGCGTGACACCAGTATATGCCTAGATAACCGGATCCCCAGCAGAGGGTTTTTTGTTCCTAATGGATCGATTAATTATATTTGTATATTCTGCCAACTACCTCGGGTTGTGTGAGATTGTGCCGTGCGATAGTGATGCAGAGTGATAAAATGATACACACGCATGAAGAGTGTGGCTGTAATTGATTTGTATACGGAATCAGGTTCGGGTCAGTTACAATTGTGAAATCTGGATATTCACATAATGCTGATTTGATTTAAATGTAAATTTGATCTTAAAAATCCTTTACACACGATTTTCTATATTCAGATTTCTCCCGTGCATGTGATAAATCAAGAGCAAATTTTCATGACGTCGAAAGTAACACATCTTGCGTCAGTTTTCAAATAGGCCAATCTACATTGATCGATTCTCTTCATCGACTCTCTCTTTCGTTAATAAGTTGGCTGCATTGATAATTTGGGCTAATTTTTTCTACACAGTCTGTTAAAATAAAAACTTCTAGGGACAAACCCTATGGGGTTGTACGCAATGGTGACGTAGGACTACGTGGTCTTATATAATAAATCTTATTTTTTAACTGCAGCAGGAGCTTGCGTTTTGTGCAGGAATAGGATTTTGAGTGGGGTTTTCTATGTTTATACTCTTTAGTATGACGCGCTTGACATAGATGGCCCACAGCAACTCACGAAGAGCTACTGATTCCGATCAATAGCAGCGCGGTTTCTTCCTCCTTCTATGGATGCTCATGTGGCCTACAGCTCACTGCCTTTCGTTGTGTACGGGAGAACAATGTTCAACGTCACACGCCAAAAGCAGTGCGGCTGCAGCAGCTGATGCCGACGACCGGACACCACCACACACGGTGATTGGAACTGAATCCGATCAGCGGTTGAGGCCAGCCCTTATAGCTAGCTGCTTGCGGGGAGCCTTTCGTTTTGAACTGGAGAACACCACCACTCACCACGCGGTGATTGAATAAACACCGTTTGGTGAGACCGGATGGAATTCAACTTTGAAATCTGTGTTTGGAAAATCGCTTTTCGCAGGCAATCGGTGATAATTTTAATTATCATAGCAACAGTTGCACTTTCGTGCAATTTTTTAATGTGACATTTTGAAAAATGGCAAAGTCTTAAATTGACAGATGCGTACAATTATTTCTGATCGATTGGTAATAAAATTATCGAAATTGGTCAAGGGGCAGCTGAGTTGTTAACGTTCAATATCTTTCATAATTTTGTTACATATTCCAGTTTTGGTTTTCACAAAGTGTACCCCCATATAGACATTACAGACGTAGTCCTACGTCAAAAAAATATTAGGTCGTTCGCAACGCTGATTTTCAAAATTGTTTCAAACTGCAACACGTTCAGGGCAACGCACACTTTTAAAGGGTGTTTGGTATTTATCCCTACATATGTGTGCGAGTGCAAAGTTTGTTTGCGTCGGTGATTTTCAGGGGTGGAATGTATAACCTTTTGCTTCGTATAACTGGTTCCAAACGTAAAAAAGTACGATGTTGTATTCAAGACACGACAGTAGATTTGACGTGCTCGGTATCAATATTCAGCGACTGTGTTAGGGCAACCACTTTTTCCCATCACGGAACGCCTCGTTTTTTTATGACAAAATTACGCATTTTCGTGTATACAGTGCACGGAATTTTTGGTTTATTAAATACATAATAAATAAGCAAAAATTGATTAGAGAAATTTCTTGCTAAAATCTTCCAATCGCGGGATAATCGTGATCAATCATATCAATTCGAGATTTTTTTTGCATTTTTCAAACATCCTGGAGAAAACCTTACCTTAATTCGAAGTGTTTCTTGTTAATTCCTGAGTGATTTGAGATTTGGCCGTAATTGCATTTGTAAAAAAAAACGCGTTAATTGCCGATTTCTCGCAAATGAAAGCTCAATTTCAAAAACTAATAGCACTATGAGGTGAAGGAACTATTGCTCTTTCATTTGGCATAGCTTGTTTACGAGATTGAGGTTTTAAAAACGAAAAAACGGTGATTGACGTGTTTGTTTACAAAAGCAATTACGCCCAAATCTCAAATCACTCTGGAATAGACAAGTTCATGTGGTTCAATTTTCAATTTTTTTTTTGCATTTTTTTTGCTTCAATAGTGTTACGCATTTGACCACAAACGTTTGGTTGTTGGGTACATTATCAAAAAGCAAAAATCGTTCAATGAAAATTTACTCTTAAACAACAATAATTTATGGTGGTCCTGAAAAGGACCGTTTTGTTGTGATGCTTGAGTAGAGCTGAGCTATTAGGGTTTTCAACACAGATGAAGCTGGTGAGCTGTATGTTGTTTGGAACGAGGATAACGCGTTTGGCATAGAGGGCCCACAGTGACTCACGAAGAGCTACTGAATCCGATCAGTAGCGGTGCGGCTTCTTTCTCCTTCTTCGGTGAATGGACGCTCATATGGGCTGCAGCTCACTGCTTACGGGCAGCCTTTTGTTGTGTATTGGAGAACAATGTTCAACGCCACGCGCCGAAAACACTGCTGCGACTGCTGCTGATGACGACCGACCGGACCTAACCACACACGGTAATTGAATTAGTGTTGGGAAAATATTAAAAAATAAAATCTCACCAACGCCCAAGATCACGCTTGATTTTCGTAGACAAAAATCAACAAGCAAACAACTGTGGTTGATTTGGCAAGCTGTGATATTGCAGCTCGGAATATCAAGCTAACAAAACTCACCAACTGCAAATCTCATAAAACTGTGGTGAGATTGAGTTTAATGATTTTTGCTTTACACCCGAATGCAACCGAAACTTTCATAACGGCTTGCAGCAGTCCCTTTGCGTCTGCCATCGGTGAAGATTGAAAAGAGTTAGCAAACTATGCTTTCTCTTTCTAAGAAAACGATCAACTCTCAGCTTGATTTTTGCACGTTGTGAATGGTCTCGCAATATCAAAGGAGCTTGTTAAATCAATATCAAGCATGATATTTTGTTCCAATATCCAATATTGCGAGCGCATGAGAGCGGAAAATATCAATTGATTTCTGATTTCGTCAAAACTGAATTGAATAAGTACCGTTCGGCAAGACCGGATGGAATTCGATGTTGATATCTGTGTTAGGGAAAGCGCTTTTTGCAGACAATCGTCGATAATTTTTGTCACCATTGCAACAGTTGGACATTTGTGTAATATTCATTAGTTACCTATTGAAAATTGATAAAGTGTTTATTTTGGCAGATTTGTTGAAAAATTTCAAATTAATTGGCTTGTTTAGAATTAAAATCCATCCGCTATTGAAAGAGTTGTAAGTGGTTGAAACCTGACCACTTTTCGTTACGCGGTCAGTTTTGTCCTTTGACGTGGGAAGCCATAAGAAACCTACATGGTTTGTTTACGTTTGGAACCAATTTCATACAAGAATGATCATTAGGCTAATTAGTTCCCCTCCAGATGATTTTATCACGAACGGAGACGGTGATTCTGATTCAAGAACATGTTTTTTTGGTGCAAGATGATTATAACAACGTAATCCACCGTCAGGTAATGAGTTTGAAGAGGTCCCGGACGATTCTTCTGTCGCAATATGTATAAAAAGTACTATCTGAAGTGCGATTTGATGATGGTGGAAATTATTTTGTGAAGATCTCTGATCACCTGATGGTCTTTGAAATTATTTCTTAGCACCCTGGTATCGAGGGTGAATATATGAGAGACGTGTGAGTCTGATCACCTGAAGACTTTTAGATTTTTTTTAAGTCACCTGGTATCATGAAAGAATATCTGGGAGATGTGATTTGAAGTGTTGTGCCTGTTATGATATGAGAGAATATAATATATAATGAGAGATGTGATTGGATTATTGGATATTTTCAGAATGATCCTGATCAACTCGAAGTCTTGAAAGAGTATCCTGAAGTTATCATGGGGATTTCTGATAACCTGAGGGTCTTTAGAATAATTGCTGAGCAACCTGGTGTCATGAGAAAGCATCTAAAAAACGTGATTTAATTTTTGGATAGTTGAAGATCTTTAGAATAATACCTGATCAACCTAAAGTCTTGAAAAAATAACAATCGGACTTCAAGGAGATCATAGAATATTTGAAGATCTTTGTAAATGACGCAGGTGCTTTCATGAAATTCTGCGAAGATCCATACATTTCCATGAAGTTCTATAATATAGTATATAAACTTCTATTAAACTACCTGGGATAAAATTACAAAACGCAGCTGGCAATCACTCGCGTATTAGTAATTGTAATCCATTAGAATACTATAGATAAAATCATGAAAAAAGAGCAATAAATCTGTATGTTTTGGTGAAAAACTCTAATTGTACGCCGGGGTCATCCTTGCACAGACAAAAAAGGTTGTTGAATATTACATCCAAACTGCTGCAATCAGGTCAATCCATCGGCTGTGTAATATAACATTGTATGATGTACATCGATTTTGCGAACAAAATTACATCCATTGATGTAATATTGTATCTACTTTTAGCTATTACATCATTATTTCATACATCAGCTTAAATTACATTGATCGATATTACATCTTTTTGCTGTGTGGGATCTCAATATAATCTTACTTTTTCCAGCAGAAGCTGCAATTGCATGTATTTTTGTGTCGGAACGACTGCACCCGATTTACATTTTTATAAGTATACCTGATACCGTCTGGAACTTCACAATCTTTCGGGGAAAAATCAGCCTCAGATGGAAAACCGGAATCACAACCAAACCACC